ATTTGTATTGAATCATGAGATAAAATGCTAAAAACAGCTTACCGAGTTCAAATTTGACAAAAGGGCCTTCGAATTCAGACTTAGGACGTCAAAAATATAAAATATGACTTTTTCAAAATTTTGACTTTTTGGTCAAAGTCAACGGTCAACAGTGATGTCAACAGATCAGACCGGTTCGGGTTGACTCATGCCAATTTAGGTTGACTGAGTTGACTCATACGGGTTCGAGTCAACTAGAACCGATTCTAGGAAGCTCACTGGACCAAGAACAAGCCCCACGCGTACGCGACGGAGCGTTGCGACGACGACAGGGTTGGGGGCGATAGTTGTTTTCTCCAAAATAATCTAATCAACATTACAACACCATTCAACCCAATAATCAGTCAAAAACCACAACAATTAATTGAACTTAAGCGGCAGAAGCTTACCCACAGCGGACGAACGTAAATGGTGGCGACAACCACACCCATTGGTTGGTTTTGAGAGGAAGATGATGAGGATCCTGGTTGAGGTGGCGGTGGGGTGAACCGATGATCGAGGCGACTGAAATTCGTGAAAAACCAACGCGTGATCTAGGTTTCTCCGGCGACCTTCGAGCGGCTCCCCATGGCTAACGGCAACACCTTTCGACGAATAGCCATAGGGGTTTTGGTTGGGCTGGCGAGGTGCATCGTTTGGGCTGGGCGGTGACAACCACAGTGGTCGGGGATGGAGATTTGACAAATGAGCGACACAGACGGTCTTCACGCCTTTTGCAACGGACGACGGTTGAATCGGGGTCCCTAACAGTTGGAGACAGGTCGTGGGAGAGCGTCGGTTCGACTGGTGGCGATGGAGCACGATAACAGCGGTCGGAGCAGGGTGGATCGATGAAGGGGGTCGATTAGAGATTGGGAAATTTTGAAAATTTTGGGGTTTTTCTCACACGAAGGGTTCCAATTTTAAGGATTTTTAGGTATATAACCTGGACCAAAATAATTAAATAATATATTTATTAAATAATACTCAAATAGTGAACTAGGATAGATGGTAGATGGATGGTTGACCATAGGGATGGCAACGGGCCGGGTTCGGGTCGGGTATTGGTCCCCCTCGTCCCCGTCCCCGTTTAAAAAACCAGAACCCGTCCCCGTTTAAAAAACTGCGGGGATTTAAACGGGGATCCCCGTCGGGTAATCGGGGAAAACCGCAGGGAAACGGGTATCCCCGTTTAGCACAAACGGTTATTTAAACGGGTATTGGGCCGGGTATTGGGTTGGGTATTGGGTCGGTATTGGGCCGAGAATCGGGCCGGGTATATATATATTTAAATTAAATATATTTTTATTTAAATTAAATTTATTAATATTATATATATATATAAATAATTATTTTTAATATTTATCGGGTCGGGTATCGGGGCGGGTAATCAGGTAATCGGGGCGGGGATTACCAAACCCGTCCCCGTTTAAAATAAATGGGTTTTCCCCGTCCCCGTCCCCGTTTATCATCCCCGAACCCGACCCGTTTAATTCGGTTTTCGATTTTCCCCGTCGGGTTCGAGTTTTTTTGCCATCCCTAGTTGACCATACCCTAGGTTGATGGGTTCAAGCCTTCCAACCTCTCTTTTATTTTATTTTTTTGTCAGCGGATATTTTTATTTTGGGTAAATTTAAGGGTTAGTCGTTAAACTTCTTATATATTCAAACTTGACCCATAAATCTTCAGAAATATCCACTTTGATCCTTTAAATAAATTAAATATTATTTTAAATTAATTTTGGGGTGTGACACCATCAACTCAATATGTATATCCAACTTTATCGTACTTGACATTATTCAAAAATCAATTCTAGCATCTCCATCCCCTAACGTACTTGATTGTTAAGTCTATCTATGATTCGATCTAAATACTATTATTTGGACCAAAAATATATTATAACCTTAAATATCATTATAAGATAAATTCAAAAACATACATTCTTTCGAAGTCACCTTAGAGTCACAACACAAGATATAACGTAGTTCATAATTCTTAATGTACATAACTCAAACTTATTCTCAAACCTATTCTCAAACCTAATTAAGACTTCAGAACTAACTGAATATAATCTCCAATATTAATAAATACAACACTATATATTCAAACTAAACGACTGATTAGGTACGTGATGTCATAAAACTAAATATTAAATTTCAACGTACCGTATCATCAACTTTGATCAATTATAATCTCCACATAAAACAATATTAATATTGAAAGAAGAATTAAAGAGCTATACACTCAACTTTAGCAAAGCAATTTGACCAAGAAGAAACAAAACTTGGGTTACAAGGCTCGTGGGTATAAATACTATAATAAGACTAAAATTTATATAAATTTTAAGTTTAAAGAATTGAATTTATTGATTTATCTAGAAATAAGATTAAATTGATAGAATGTATTATTAACAATGATTAAAACTTAAACATTATCATGTCAACAATTTCGTTAACCAATTATTGACAATGACCCGAATCAAACCAAAATAAAATGTTAGTAACCTAATTGAAATTTCTTATTAATCAAAATAAAATTGATCGACTAAATATATAATATATTCTAAAATATTATAACATTGCTTAATTTGTCTTCAAAACAATTATTTCATACTTTTTAACATGTATATGACATCTTAATTTGATAATTGAAATTAAAAACTTTATGTATGTTTGCATCAACTTTTTTTTGGATAATTTCTTTTTATTACCCAAAGAAGAGAGTTATGCTACAAAACCAATCACCAATCACAAAACCATACAACCTACTTACAAAATAATGATCGGTTAAACTATACCCCATGAATTACAAAGGTTAATATTAACACTATCTAACCTATTAATGTTCATTCCTCTAAGTTGGATACCTACAATCTCCTTTATAACTTTAAGAATATCTTCAGAAGATATTGAGCAACTTTGAAAAATTCTTCTATTTCGTTGCTCCCACAAGGCATAGATACGTGTGCACCAAGCAATCTTTAATATAGTAGTGAGTAGAGACTTACCTTTCCAAGCTCCACAAGCCCAAACAAGCATATCTTCCCATGACAATGTGGTTTTCTTCAATCCAGTTAGGAACAATATGGTCTCCCATAAGTAAGTATCCAAGGGGCATTCAAAGAACAAATGGTCCCTTGTTTCCATTGCTTCATTACAAAGAACACAATTTCCATCAGTATCAATCCTCATTCGTTGAAGCCGATCCACGAGTAGGAAGTCTATCCAAGAGAGTCATCCATGCAATCATACTATGTTTAGGAATATGTAGAGGAAACCAAATCAATTTGTGTCAAGGGGATTTGTCGCCCTTCACCCTAATCTCCTCCCATATATCCCTTATTTTAAGTGCTCCATTTGAAAGAGATGGAAGTGCTTCCGTTCTTAATTTAAGTATTGTTTAAGCACCAACTGAGATTAGCACCTCCTTCCATGAGCCACAAGTCATTTTCCTTTAAAACGTATGCTTTGATCCAAGCAAGCCATAAGGATCCCTCTCCTGCAAGAATTTTCCTGATAAGATTAATCATACACGCTCTATTCCAGGTTTTTATGTTCTTCAATCCAAGCCCTCCCTCAGATTTGGATTGGCAGATTTTCACCCAACTAACTCTCGCACCAGAAGCAGCCTTGTCAGATCCTTTCCAGAAGAACCTGGAGTAGAGCTGCTCAATCTTGTTTATAATAGATTGAGGCAGAATAAGTTGCCTACACTAGTAATTTGCAATGCTGAACAGAACAACTTTGATGTGTTCCAGTCTACTAGCATAACTCAGATGTTTACCAGACCAGAAAAGGAGCCTTGATTTAATTTTTCCAATAAGTATCTCATAATCTTTTTCAGAGAGTTTCCTAGATACTAAAGGAACTCCTAAGTATCTCATAGGCAAGAAACAATGATTGAAACTAGTGATTTGCTTAATAATCCCAAGGTTAGTTACTGAGATTCCAGCAACAAAAAAAATCACATGTGGTAGCATTAAGTTTAAGGCCAGACATTTCATAGAAACAGTCCAAAACAGAAATGACTCCAACAGCAGACTCCACATTTCCTTTACAAAAGATCAGTAAGTCATCATCAAAGATAAGTGTGTGAGTCCTATTTTCTTGCATTAGGGTGATAACCATACATACCTCTAGCGGCAGCCATATTGAGCATTCTAGAGAGAAAATTCATAGAGAGGACAAAAAGGATAGGAGAAAGAAGGTCTCCTTGCCTTATTCCCCTAGCTCCCTTGAAGAATCCTATCAAGCTGTCATTAAAGGAAATGGAGTCATGTTGTTAAAACAGGCTTGAGTGCAAAATAATAATTAAACAATAATATTAACTTTGCTACATCCCATTTGTGTGCAAAATAATATTAATAATTAGACATATAATTAATAGTCTCATTATTTTAATAATTAAACAATAATAATATCTTCTTTGTTTAAGGTTGGAGTCATGTCCCTCTCCTAATTTATGATATTAACTTGACAGATATTCCTTGGAAGTTTGGAATAAAAATGAAAAGAGTAAATGATATTCTTTTCACATATACATCCAAATTCATTGGTTATAGCCGTACAAAAACACGAGTGGAATTGTACTTGCAACTAGGAATAGATGGAAGGCGATTGACGGAGTTATGTTACTTTAAAAATTTTAAATTATTTTATAATTTAATTATTTTTTATTGATAATTTTTTTAAATTTTATAAATTCGAATCCTCTAACATAAAATCTTGTATCTCACCGTCTATAATTAAATTATAAACCTTACACAGCGGTAACCTTGTTTATTGTTTCAATTTAGATTGTTTTAAATTTAAATAAAAGCTTTTGATACATTACAAAAAATTTTAAAAATAGCAACAACAGCAACGATGCTTAATCAAATGTTATTAAAACAGGCTTGAGTAAATTCTTACATTATTTACCCAAGAAACAAATTCAATCTCAAACTCATCACTTTTCATGTTTAAATATATCTCAGTGCCCGACTTAACATTTTGGATAATCACTTGGAGGTGGAAGAAGCGACTCATTAGGTCCTTTTCCATTGTCTACCAAGAATGCCATCTTCAATCCCCATGTCGTATGAATTTCTAAATGGCAATGCATGAACCAAACTCCTGCAAATTTTCCAAACAAATTTAGTGTATTAATGAATATGGGAAAGATTTTGTGATTTCGTTGGAACATTGTTTTTTACCTGGGTTATCTGCACGGAATCTTATAGCTACCCATCCACCGGTTGGTACCCCAATTGTGTTCCTCTCTACCGGATCCACCAGATTAAAGTTTCGAGGATTGGCTTTCGGATTATAGTTTCCGAGTCCCCTACCGACGGCGAAGAAATTGAATCCATGCAAGTGGATGGGGTGGTTCTCAGGGGCTAAGATCCCGGTATCTTGCAAAACAAGTTCTACTGTCGAGTTATAAGCCAGTCTGAAGACCTTTGTTCCATTTGTGGTCTGTAAATTACTTGGTGGCGTTCCGGTGTAGTTAAACACGTGTGGCGGGTTACCGGGGAAATCAGTGGTGAAAACACCGCTGATGTTGAAATAATGTGCTTGAAGTAAGGCCGTAGTAGGCATAACGAATGTCACGTTGTTAATAGCAGCTACTGCACGACTTCCGTTACCGGCTTTGCAAGTCGAACAAGGGTTGATGCCGAGCCCAACCGTGAAGAAAAGATTGTGATCGATGGTTTGTGGGACTAAGGCAGGGTATTTCTTGGAATTGAGGGCGCGGAGAGAGTTTGTAAAGCTGTTAGCAATTGGTGTGGCGTTTTGCGGTGGTGGGGTAGTGAGAGTTGTGGCGCTGCTGGCGAGTGTGCCCGTGTAGTGCAAGGTTGCTGTTGCGGTAAAATTATCGACCGCAATAGGAGAGTCCATAAAAGGGGAGGCTGCGACCAAGTACTTACCGGACTTTTGATTGGCTGAGACTAGGACATTTGTGGTTTGGCCTGGGGCAATTACAATCGTATCGATTTTGAATGGTTTAACATATGTGGCGTCGACTTCAACGACGGTGAGCTTGTGATCGGCAATCTTGAAAAAGAGCTCTTCATTGAGTGCAGCATTGATGAGGCGTAGCATATAGGTCTTTCCATTTTCAACCGGCAATGTGAATCCTCCTGGATATGATTGGAACAGTTTCATATCAGAGATCATAGTTTCAGTCAATGTTTTCCGAATTACAGAAAAAGAAAAAAGGGAATACCCTGGGAAGGACAATTGGAGATTGGTCCGGGATGGCCATTAATGGTGTGAGCATCCGAGACATTCGGTGCCAATCCAGACTTGAGTGCTTCATTGATGACATCTTCGGTATCAGATTTCCACCACTCACCTAGCACAACAACAACTTCATCGTCCGGTTTCGGGAACGGATAAGGCACACCGGGCTTAGGCAAGATAACAATCGCCCCATGGACCGTGGACCTTAGCCAGAGAATATGTGCATGCCATAGCAGTGTGCCTCTTTGGCCTGTGATGGTAAAGTTATACACATAACTTTGCCCTGTCTGGATTGGACATTGTGTAATATATGCCGGACCATCTGCCCAACCTGTTCGAAGTTGCCTTATACCATGCCTGCACAATTAATGAACAAAAAATAAATAAATGAACAAATAGTCCATATATATTATGTTTAATTTATGAACGCTGATTATTTGGGTCCTAACCAATGTATAGAAACATTGTATTTGACATGGTTAACGACTTTGACAAGCACTGTATCGTCCTCTCTAGCGTATAAAGTCGGTCCGGGGAATTCGCCATTGACGGTCACAACCGATTTACTGGAACATAATCTAGTTGTATTCTTCATTTCCACCTGCGCAGGTAACGTAATTAAACATAAAATCATATGCATTATAATTAAATATGAATTCTCAACCTAGTTGATGGCTCCAAACAAACACATTTCGGTCGAAAATTAAACAATGTACTTACATTGAACTTGTAGTGTCGAACAGCAGAGTCGACAAGAACAGGCAAGAAGAATGCGACAAGAAGTGAAATTTGAACCCAAGAGTTCATTTTCTCTTCTTTGGCTCGACTTGTTTTTTCTTTTGTTATTTGTTTAATCACTCAATTCCACTCGGGCTTGTTGCACTCATGAATGACTCGGCAACACACACCATTTTAAAGGGTGATAGAGAGCAATTGCTGCCATGTCGTTTTTCTTTGGTTAGGTGGATGAAAGTGTGTATCCTCTAGAAACAAAGAATTGTTGCGAAATAACATGATTCCACCCATGATTTCTTGCATTTCACATAAAGTTATTTTTAGGACCAGATCATTGGAAGTTAAGTCATTAAAACACTTAACCCCATTTGCCAATTAATTAGAACCCTAATCACGAATTTGAAAGAAATCAATAGGAAAAAATAGCATTTCCTTAACATTATTCCATGCACTCTTTTTTAATACAATTTGGAAGACTTGATGGTTCTATCATTTACAAGTACTTATTGAATTTAAAAAGTAACACTTAAATATCAGTTTTTGCTGCTGGAATTATTTTCATAAAAGGCAAAAGGCATTAAGGAAAAGTGAACGGAAGGCATAAAGATTAGGGTAAACAATAAATTCCATCACTCAATTTTCTTTTCACTACTATTTTGGTCAATCAAGTTTAAAACTTTTCAATTTACTCATTGATTTTTTTACTTATTCCTATTTTGGTTACTCCTTCGTTAAATACTTAACGGCGATATGGATGAACATTTTTCTTTTAAAAATTATGAAATAGCATCAAAACTTAATTTTTTGTTGAAAAAAAATCCTTAGCTTTGAATTCTCTTTGATTTCTCGACGATGAAGCATATTATTCAAAATCTCAATGGTAAGGAAGTGGGGAATGAGAAAACAAATTGTATATCCCGATTCTACTTTAATTGAATGGTGGAGATCGTAGATCATGGTGGTTTGGGGTTTTATGAGTTTAGGGTTTAAGGTTGAGTTTTAAAGTGATTTAAGTAAAATCTAAACTGATAGAGTAGTAAGAGACAATCAGACAAGTTCGTTGATATCTTGAGTGGTTGGAGAAGATGTCAGAGAATGATAATTGTAATGTCAACGTGACACATGGATGAAACTATAAAACTTTTTTTTTGAGGAAGAAGATAAAATAAAAAAAGAAAGAAAAAGAAGGAAAAATGACGTAGATGACAGATGGATTCCATATTAATAAAGCAGTCAACATCAACACACATGATTGTCATGTTACTCTTTCATTTATGATTTAACATTCGAGTGAACAAAATAGGAACAAATAAAAAATTAAACGAATAAATTAAAAAAAACTTTAATGACTAATATAAGAGTTTACCCTAAAGATAACAACCTCAGTTTAATTGACTAAAATATATGATTAAAAGGAAATAGAAAAAATACGTGGCCTAATCACGTGTTGCTTAGAGGTTTTAGACATGACTAAGGTCCACGAAAGTGAAAATTAATGGGAAATTAATTTTGGTTTTGGTGGTGATATTTCCAGTTGACCATTCATGCTTTGTTCAACATCTGGTAGCACTAGGATGGATGTTAGGTCTAGGGCAGGGTCCCAAACACCATCAAGCACACCAATGGTGATTGTGGCATTTCAGCTGAAATCAAATTTCACCAGGCCTTGCACACATTTCACTTCAATGCACCCCAAGAATTTAAACGGCAACCCCTTATTCTGATTACTTTTTTACAATGTCTTATCATGATTTACACATGCTAAATTTTTAGCTCTTATTAAATGCTTGGTACTATCGGCATGTCTAAAATTATCAAATTCACACCAGCCAATTTAAAAATTGTAAAGAAGGATGAATCTTGTAATGAACAAAAGAGGAACAAGAGAATTACAAGGAATTTCTTTGATTCATGGGACAACTTTGGTTCATCATTTTTTGCAATAAAACGCTTACCTAACACGCTATAAGGGTATAAGCCTCATGTATGGATAAACTATTTTGATGTTAAGTATGATAAACTATCAAGTGTCTCAGGTTCCCTTTTGATTTGCACACTACATTAAGTTCATCAGAACAAATTTCAAACCCTTTCAATCCTTAAGTGTGGGCAATATATCACTTTCTAATACTTTAGAAAGAATGACAAAAATTTCTAGAAGTCTTGTCCATGATTGTTATCATAGAATTAACATCTCCCATAAAAGGCACTTTAGATGATCCTCATATATCAAAATGTATACAATTAGGGATGGGCATGAGACCTGAATCCGACGGGTTCCAACCCGACCCGATTGGGTCGAGTTTTTTAAAAAATTTGGGGTCGGATTCGGGTTTAGGGTGAAAATACCCGACCTGACCCAACCCAATCCGAAAAAAAAATAATTTTACCTTATATATTTAAGAGTAATTACAATAAAACCCCTCTCTATATATTATTTTTTTCAATTAAATCATTTTTTATTGAATAAAAATAATATTTTTATTATTATTTCGGGTCAAGTCGGGTTCGGATTTTATTTCAAAAAGTCGGGTCGGGTGGAAGGTATATTATGCGGGTCGGATCGGATTTCGGGTGGAGGAGTCATTGTTCTCGGGTCGGGTCGGGTGGACCAAAAATCCGACCCAACACAACTCATGCCCATCCCTATATACAATAGAGTGTTTCTTTGATATTATGAATTCCTTTGATGAATCAAAATCTCTTTTGATTTCTAAAAATATAGTGTTCAAAGAACTTCACTTGTCTATCAAAACGTCCTCTTTTACTTAATTTTTTTTCTATGTTGTTTTCGCTCATATGCCTCAAACATATATACCAAATTCTGTTAACATCATCATTTGATATGAAAGAGGGAGGGATGGTATGGTTGCATCACATGTAATTGTTGGATACTGTCAAATATATAACTTGACAGTATTTCTTTCCCCTTTATTTATGATGAGAGAGCTCTTTCTAATCTTTAGAACTTTATCTTTTGAATCAATAGAGCTTAACGAAATCAGATTCCTCTTTAATTAGTACATGTCGGTCACCAAATGTTCTAATAACTCCATTAAATATTTTAATTTTGATTGTATTAATATTTGTAACTTTACACGAAACATTATCTCTCGTCAAACACCTTTAGACATTATTTCATATGTTGTAAACTTGTCTTGATTGAGACATATATGAAATGAATTAGAATTGAAGATCCACTCCTTGCTTACTTTAGAGTCGCCAACACAAGAAATTAGTAGTTCACCTTTATTATAATCTTCCACTACATTAATGTCGTCATATTCTCTTGAAACATGTTTCATCAAACGGGTTTTATCATGAACTTTTCAGACCACATCAAATAAAATTCTAATCACAAACTTAACGATATTTTTCTCTTCTTTTTCCTCCTTTCACTTTCCAATAAACTAAGTATATTTGTGGATATTTCTTTTAACTCCATTAAAGTGCATTGAACACAGGGGTAAATGAACAGAGCATTCATTGAATTGGTTTGTGAATCGTTCGTATAACATTCGTTTATTAAGCTAAATAAACGAGTATGAATAAATTTTATGTTTAGTTAATAAATGAACGAACATGAACAAATGTGTGTTTAATTCGTTTATTTCCACGAACAAGCTCGTTTATTGATGTTCACAAACAAGCTCGTTTAGAAGTTTATTTTTTTACATTTTAAATATTAGTGAAGGTACATACTAAATTAAATACATTGTAAAATTTGAAGTTTAATGAATCATAGTAAGTTTAAGCACTAGTTGTGTAATTTTACCATTTTTCTTTTTATAACATCAAAAAAACCCCTTTTTCTCTGTCACTCTCTTTGGGGAGGATTTAAAGAACCACAACCTCATTTAAGGCTAAAAAAACGAAAATAGACTCAACCGAAAATATTACATTTTTTAATATTTTCGGTTCAACCTAAAATATTATATTTTTCATAATATTTTTTGTTGCCAACTGAAAATGTTATCTTCTTCGTAACAATTTAAGTTCAACAAAAAATGTTAGGAAAAAGATAACTTTTGAAGTTGCGCCCAACCTAAAATGGTATGTTTTTGTCACATTTTTAGTTGCGTCTATATCTACTGTTTTAGCCTTAAATTAAGTTGTCGTATCGCAAAACTTCGCTTATCTTTTTCCTTTTATTCCGGTCATTCGCCCAAGCTCCCTTTCTAATTTCCCCTTTTCTTTCACGAGCTTTATTAAATCTTAAACCATATTTTCTGACATCGTGCTTTACACCATCGATGTCTTTACTCTCCTCGTCTCGTCCCGATCATAACGATAACAAGAAGACGTTGTTCGTCATCCGTTTATGAAAAACCTTTCTTTATGAAACAAGAATATGTTTATTTATTTACCTGCTATTTTGTTAGTTTTTGATAACTTCTACTGCTTTTGTTAATATTTGATATGATTAATTTAGTATAAGAACATAATCTTGTCAAAAGTGATCGTTTTCGAAATAAAAAGGAGGAGGGGATCTTCGAGCTTTTAAATTTGACATTAGGGAATATGTTTTTGTTAGTCATTCATCTAATGATCACAGATATGTTTTTATTAGATAATTCAGTTTAATATGTGTCTTTATAATATTTTTTACTATATATGAATGAACATGTTCACAAATTCTAAACGAATATGTCTGTGAATGATAAACGAACGTCAAACGAATATGTTTGCGAACGTTAAATGAACAAACACAAATACCTTCACAAAAAAAATAAGTGAACACAAACACGATGTTAAAAAAATTAAACAAACATAAACACCTTCAAAAATAAACAAACGAACACAAACACAACCTTACTCTTTCAAACTCGGTTCATTTACGACCCTAATTGAACCTTTACCTTTTCAATAATCATATATATTATTAATGCATCAGTTATTATTGTTTCTAATGCAGGATAAGAATATATTATAGCTTCATAATTATGTTTGTAGACTTTTTTAAATGCTGGTAAGACGCATTATAACTTAAAAGTTTTTTAATTTCATTGAAAATCAATTCTAAAAGTGCACCATTAAATATGACTCCATTCGGAAAAAATAAATCCAAGTGAAAATTG